TATGACATCACAGTAAGGCCTGAGGTGCACATGACTGTCCTTCCTTTGTCAGAAACACTCTACGGCTGCTTCCAGTCAGGGCCGTTCCCTCATTTACCCATCCAGAACTGTCATCTCCGTTCTCATCACATGCATCGTTCATGCTCAAATATGCAGGAAGCACATGTCTTCTCCAAAGCCTTGAGTAACGAGGTGTTCTCTCCAGAAACACTCACCTCAGCTGCCTGGCTATTTGGATCATATATTTGGACTTCTCCTCAGACCCGTAAGAAATATGCATAGCACAGGCATGAGTTTTCTGCAGATTCTCTTGCCTCTTTCTCCCATGTAGCCTCTTTCTGCCATGCCACCACACGCAGCTTTTACCTGGGTTCCAGAGGTTGAACTTGGGTCATCAGATTTGTGTGGCAAGTATCTTGACCCACTGATCCATCTCCTTAGCCCCATATTTTAATAATAACTATTTAAACTGAACAAAACACTCCTCTTAAGTGCTTTTTATGGAGTCTGGCATTAATGCAAATCATCTAAGTAATCTTGGCTAAATTTTACAGTTTTAGTACATCACCATTCTTCCAGTCTAACCCACTCAAGATTTTTTCTCTATAAATTAATCTTTGAAAAGTTACCGTAACCTTGCAAACACATTAATCATCAAATGTTTGGGAGCAAATAGACTCAGTGATAAAAATCATACTGTACCTTGTGTCTACTTAACACTAAATCAAAAAAAAATATTATGCTTAATGGAATTTTTGGTTGCAGAAAATATTTTTGACAAATAAGTCTCTGGTATCTTTGAAAATTATAATTGATAACAAAGAGCTTTTAGAAATGCAGGTTACCTTCCCTTCCCTCATAGACATATCCCAGAGGATTTGGGAGAAAAGACAGTGATATCTGAGTATCTGTGATGGGGAGGTTCTTATATTCTTGTCAAGGACTTGAGGAGCAAAAGCTGAAGTCAATAATCCTTGATGTATCGCTCTCACATTTTGCTGTGTCTGATGTGTGCTCAGGAGAGGATATGTCAACCATTTTAAAGACTGTCGGTTGACATTGTTATGGCCACCATTAATGTTCTAAGTGCTTACAGAATGCGAGACCATGGACAAAGGACCTTAGAGGTATTGGCTGTTCACTCTTTGACTTATTCCAGTACTTTCTCTGTAATAGCTGTGTCCGAAGCACTGGTGTAGTTGCATGATAGAATGTCTGTCTCCGACATGGTTCTTAAATTCTGCTGAAAGAAACAGTATAGATAGTATTTCCAACATAATTCTTCTTACTGAAGGACACTGTGGCACGGTGAGGGAGTCAGAGGCATTGTTTGGGCCACGCCAAAGGATAGGAAGGGCTATGAATGCCTAAGAAGAAAAACCTTATGAAGAACTCTGAGGGGAAAACCTTCGTAAAAGCTTAGAGGGTCAGCTGCAAAGCTCAGAGACAAGAATCCCCATAGAGCAGTAGTTCTCAACCTTCCTAATGCTGCGACCTTTAATATAATTCCTTATGGTGTGGTGACCCCCATCCTTAAAATTATTTTAATTATTTTAAAATTATTTTAAAATTATTTTTGTTGATGTTTCATAAATGCAATTTTGCTACTGTTATAAATAATAATGTAAATATCTGATATTGAGCGTCCCTGTGGCCCCCATTGTCACATGAACATTGGCATGTGAAAAATCAAGATTTATATTCAGTAAGCTTACGTAAGTGTATAATCTGAGAATTAGTGTGGAGAGGTTTTGAATCTTTCTTGGCTGAAACTAAATCCTATTAACTCAAATTGTTCCTGGTTAGCTAGTATAGTTATATTTCAAACAATATTCTACATTTACTGGATCCTGATCAAATGTTCTAAGAAAAATAGAACATGGAATTGAACTTTTATGTCTGAAGAAAAGAAAGAAGCTGTGTTTATATTATATCATGTGATAGCATATACACAGTGCTGTGGTTAGGAATGTTAATTTCTAATGCTGTTTGGTAATTCAACGTCTAAAATCCAGAGCTGATGAAAGCAATCATTGAAATCAAACTGATAGAAAAGCATACAACTCTCATACAACCTATTACCTATTAAAGTGTTTACTTGAGCAACTGCTTCACTATTGTTACAAAAACATTAAAACTGTTTTTTTTTTAAATCTGTACTTTACATATGCTTCCCAATTCCTAGAACAGGGTGGTTCCAATATACTTAGGTCTGCAAACGAAACTGTAGTGAAACCATGCTTGGCAGAAATGGTCAGTTACAACTCGAATGTTAGCCCAATAATCTAAATGGACATAATCACAAGTAAGATTATCCCCTGAGAAGAGGGCTAGAGAATCTCTAGGAAGAGATGAAAAATATTCTACTTTAAAGATTAAAAGTGAAACTTGGGCACTTTACATTTTTATTCAGAAATAAAATTGTCTGTCAATTTTTTAAAACAATGAACAATACAATTTACACAATTGCATTTAAAATGTATATTTAAATTTTTCCTTTATAATGTGTTGTTTCAGTAACCTTTTATGCTAATATTATGTTATCTCTTCAGCATACTTACTAAAATATATTCTTTTAACCTTAAAATTTATATCTAAAAGAAGAACCAGTTTTTAGAAAAAAAACCAAAATTTAAAATAGAAATACATTTAAGCCAAGTAATTAACTGTGGCTTCCCTATGTAGCTTTATGTTTAAATGAAAGTAGAAGAATAATTAAAAGATGTTAAGTAGATTTTTATTACTTTTTGCCAGGAAAGTATTATTAGAGCCTTTGTTCAAGCACTGCTATTTCTCATTGTTAAGTTGCATTTAATGAATAATAAGGTTTTATTTGAAAATCATGACTGCATCCTGTAACAGTTCTTACAGCATTGAAATTTCTCTGTTAGGGAAGCTGTTGCTATAATTGCCTTCCAACTTAAGATTACTTTTAGAGTAGAAATGATCAAAGCCAAGTCACTCACATATACTTTAAAGAAAGTGCATAAGTTTGCAAGAGTTCTATCATTACAACAATAGCTTTTTAAGATGAATTCTGGTACAGGAAGGTTGGTCTTACTTTGATCCTTTTCCCCCTGCTGAACAAGTACTTTTGATAGACAGAAATTTACAGAGACCCAATATTCTGCCATTAATCAAGTGAACATCTATTTGTTTTGTTTTCTTTGTTGAATCGGGGCTTCACTATGTTGCCCAGGTGACACTGAATCTACTATCCTCTTGTGACGGTCTGTCAAGGACAAGGATTCCAAGTGTCTGTGACCCAGCCCACAGAAACCTCTTCTGTTTGCTTCAGTTGTATGCTGAATAGTTTGTGTCAACTTGGCACAAGCCGGAGTCATGAGTGGAAGGAGCCTCAATTGAGAAAATGCCTCCGTAAGATCCAGATGCAAGGCATTTTCTTAATTAGTGACCAATGAGGAAGGACCCAGCCCCACTGTGAGTGGTGCCATCCCTGGGCTGGTGGTTCTAGGTTCTATAAGAAAACAGGCTGAGCAAGCCATGTGAGCAAGCAAGGCAGTAAGCAGCATCCCTCCATGGCCTCTGCATCAGCTCCTGCCTCTGGGTTCCTGCCCTGTTTGAGTTCCTGTCCTGACTTCCTTCAGTGATGAACAGCAATCCTGAACTATAATCCAAATAAACCCTTTCTTCCCCAAGTTGCTTTGGTTGTGATATTTTATTACAGTGACAGTAACCCTAAGACAAGTTTCATGTTTATTAATGGGAGGACATAATTTGCCTTGGCTGTTAACAGTCTAGAATACAATACTTACTTTAGTCACTCTGGTGTCTTGTGTCCACAACCAAGAGCTTACACATGCTTGTAGAATGTACGAGCGAACAGTGAGAGAATGGATGTCCTTCACCTTACAGTGAAAAGTGGAATTCACATGTTTGTGTTGGATGGTTTAGTGGTGGATTCCTCAGCAAACACCATTTAGTTTCTTCAGAGTCTGTCAACCCTGCTGAGTCGTAATAATGTTTTAGATTGTTTATATCTTTTTTCAAATGGTGTAGATTTTGAATGCCATGTGTTCTACATAACTACATGCATGCTGTGAACTATTACTCATATGTGAATTTATGTGAGGTTTATATATATATATATACTTTATATATAATGTGAGTACATATGAAGCTTTTAAAATCATCCTTTATGTGAAAAATTGTGTGTAATTTTAGCTGCCTTACATTGATGTGTCTCTTCTATCACTGCTAACAAACTATATGGTATATAATATGCGTTGCCTTTCATTCTTTGGGACTGCTATTGTATTTATGTTATTTATTTTTCATCTTTATTTTATAAACTTGTGAAGGTATTAATTGTCTATAATTTTTATATCCTCAAAATATAATATGGTTGTGTTGAATTGAGAATAGCCATTTTGAAGACTTTAAAAAATTTTTCAGATAGATACTCTGTTAGATAATATTTGAGAGTGCTGAAAGACATAGTCAACCCCTGTCCCCAGAGCCTTAAAATAATAAATAGATGTTCATGCTGTTTATTCTTGAGTGCCTCGTTTGGGACACTAACCATTAAAGCAGAAGTGACTGTTCACATGCACAGTGCCAGCATTGTGAGCCCCAGGCTGATGGAGGATTTTATGAGCAGTGGCTGCAGCACAGATTCTGTGTACATCACAGCATCACAGATAGAGTTCAGAGCCATTGCTAGTTACGTAGTTAGCTGTTGAAATGTGTGTAATTTGTTAGGAAGAGCTGCTGCTATTGCTGCTGCTGCTGCTGCTGCTATTAGCGGTAAAGCAGTTTTGTTTTTTAAAATGACCTTGCCCCACGAGGTCATGATTCATTCCTGACAGGTACAGACACGGCTCCCCAAATGAAAAGCAATTATACACTTCCTAGCTATGTAAACTGCCCCAGCATGTACAGCCGAAAACAAATGATACCCCAGCTACTTAAACATTATTCACTTGGAACTGTGTATCCTTCTCTAAGCAAATGAACTTCCCTTCCTATTTTCCTGGCAGGAAGAAGCACTCCATGGGTTTCGAGTGAGCAACTACTTTGAATACATGGAGACTCTGGAGCAAAACTACCGTCCAGTGCTGCTGAGAGACATGCGCAGTCTGAGGGTGCAAAGCACATAGATGATGAGGGCCCCCCAAACTTTATGTTGTATTCATTTTTAAGGGAGACAAGGCAGCGTGATTGTGTCCTGTCTACATCGGCAGCATGTGCTTTGTGTGTCCATGTGTGTCAGTCAGTGTCGAGGTTTGGTACAGAATATATTCGTGTTGCTCTCGGCTCAGTTTGTGAAATGAAGTGAGTTCATTTTTGCAAGTTCCTTGTTCTTTACATTTGTAGGAGCAGTCCTAGGTTTTAGTTTGTGTTTGACTTAAAAAAGGATCAAAGACCTTAATGTAAAACCTAAAAATCTGAAACTGCTAGAGGAGAACACTTGATTTGAAAAAGGCAGTGGGTTCTGAATAAGAATCCAGGAACTCAGGGAATGAAAACAAGCAGAGACAATAGTCCTGCATACTTGTAAAGTAGAAGAAAAGGAAGGCAGGTACAAATCGGGAAAAGAGTTGCCATGACTCACCTGAGAAGGGAGAATATCAAGAATATATGCCGAGATAAATAAACTACAAAATAGTAAAAGAACAACAACAACAAAAAAAAAACTCCAGTCAGCAACTGGGCAGGGAAGTGAGACACTTCAGACGGTGAAGCACCCATCAAAAACGGGTACATGAAGAAAGGCTCACCGCCTTTATCCATAAGGAAAATGCCCATCGAAACAACGTTATCGCACTAAAATGGCTATCATCAAGAACAGGAATGCTGCTCAGGCTTGAGGGCAGACACTTATAAATTGTTAGTGGTAATTTATCATGTAGACTGATCTAGACAGAAATTAGTATGGAGATCAAAAAAACAAAAGTTCACCTAAGTTGACCTAGCCACACAATTTATGTGATAAAACAAATAAATGTATGTCAGATTACCAAGGAGATCCCTGTACATCTCTATTCACAATAGCCAGGTTTGGAATCAGTCGAGGTAGTCAGTGCAGGCACACAATAGAATTTTACTCAGTCATAAAGAAGAACGAAATGAAGCATTTGTAGGAAACTCGGATTGGAGATCATGTTAGCTGATAAAAGCCAGTCCCCTAAAGGAAGGCATCACATGTTCTGTTTCCTGTGTGGAAGCTGCGGGGTGGAGCATGAAACTAAGAGGCTGAGCAGTGTGAAGGCCTGGGGAGCATAAGAAAGTAGTGGAGGGGTGAGGAGCCGTGATGGCTCAGTGATTACCGGTGCCTGCCTCCAAGCCTGACAACTGGATTTCAACCCCTCCCACCCACACTGAGAAAGAATGAAACTGACTCTCAAGAGCTATGCTCTGACCTCCACATACTGTAGATATGCCTGGAACTGTAAAGTAAAATATTTTAAAGTAAGGAAAGAAACTCTTGTGAGACACATAGAGTCAAAGTACATTACATGTGTGCTGGGAATGTCATAGTGGCATTGAATGAAATGTCCCAACCTACATCATCTCTACTGTGTAGTAATAGTTCTTCTAGTGATCTTGGGAAGAAGAGACAATTTTATTAAGGAAGGAAGGAAGGAAAGAAAAAGAACAAAGGCCTGAGTATCAGAAGGAGTCCATAGAGATGGGCAAAAGCCTACTTCCTTCATTTTTGCAGCTGTACATATGGAAAAACACAGGCAACAGCACAGTTGCTTATTTTCCCTATGGTGGAACAAAGGACGTCTACCAGGACATTGTCCTCAGACATAATTGTCTTTCTAGGAGGTGCTTGTTAGACCAATGTCTATTTCTAACTTTCCATTGGAAATTTGGGTTCACATGACTCACTTAGAAGACAGATTGCCTCCCTCGTGCTGATAAGCATTCTGCTGTTATTTCTTGGCATTTCTTGGTGATAGATTTGATTTTTACTGAACTTGAAAGCATTAAGAACAATAGATTTCTAAATTGAAATGATTCACACTGCGATTTATTTGAACAGAAGTCTCTGTGCCCATAGATTTAACATGTGAGGGGTTTTTTTTTTTATTATAGCTTTCCATTTACTGTTTGAAAGCCAATACTCAACTATGTTATTAATTTACCAATTTCAGTTTTTAAAATAAATCCTATAGGTTATTTTGTATTCTTTGCTTATATAACCATGCATTATATAACTAATACTACTTTTTAAAAAAACTTTCTACCCAAATGAGACATGCCTAAATTTATTTTCATCTGCATGTAAGGCAACAGGTGCAATACAGTTATCAATTGAGGGACAGTTAGGTATTTAAAATCCGCTTCTTCCCAAGTCAGGTTTTGTACTGTGCATGCCAGCAATAGTTTTCCGATGATGGTGCTGTTAAAGGGCGTTGTAAATTGGTGGATGGTAAATTGAGCAAGTTAATTAGACACATTGCACATTTGACTTACACTGAATGAGTGAGGGAAGTAGATGACCCTAATGCATACTTTGTCTGCTGTGTGCGTGTATGGAGGCAGAGGGCATGCAGAAGGTTCCAGCTGCCTTGTCTTTCTGAGTGATGCTCCTAGTTCCAAGAGACTACAGCCTGTCTTCATGTGAAAGCTATTGCATTGCAGATAGACATTATTTGCATCGTTGTTGATGGATGACTTACTGGAAGTTCAGGTAATATCTAAATTATGATAGTCACGTTTTGCAAACAGTGACTTCATCTGGAACAAGGTGGTTTTCATTTCTCTTTGATAAAATAGAAACAGAATTGGACAAGGTTATTCAATCATGTGATCCCGGTACCCAAGAAACAAGAATCAGGCCATCGATGCAAGTTTCAGACTAACTACTACTACATGTTGAAACCCTAACTCAGAAAAAAAGATAAAGAAAAATAAGTAAGTAAAAAGTAATGAGATTGGGCAAGATGTCTCAACAGAAAGGTGCTTGAAGTCAAACCTAAAAACCTGAGTTAGATTTCCATGACCTTTTCCCATAGCAGAACAACGCTGACTCTCACAAGTTACCTCCTGCCCTCCACACCTGCCCCACCAGAACAATGTAATTAAAAAATAAAAAAATTGTCTTTTGGTTAAAAGACAATTCAAAATTAAAAATATGAAATGTCTTAAGAAGATGGCTTACATTAGTTTCATAGAAGAAAACATAAAGTATTATTTGTGTGGCTACCCTTGTGATTCGTGTCTCTATTTTAAGACTAATAGCCTTAAAGAATACTGCCCTGCCTCAACTGTGTAATTAAGTATGAGCTCTTGAGACAGACAGACTTTGTCTCTTATTTGTGAAGAACCAATTCATATATTTTGCAGAATTTAAATATAAATAAATTTATGATACAAATTGTCTTGAGAGAACTTTATTAGTATGTAAATCTTTGGCCATCTGTTTTCAGATTTTTATTTTTAATACATACAAGCATAATAGCTCAGTGATTGGGTGCTTTCCAGGATGCAGAAGGCTGTGGATTCCATCTCCAGAACTTCAAAACAGAGCACTTGTAGTTAGGAGTCTTGTGACACCTAAATATCTAAGGTATCTGTCAAGGTATTACAAAGTAACTCTCGGGGAAGTATTTAAACATCTCTAAAATAGTCTGTCTAAATCTGTGATTAGTGATTAATACTGTGCCATATTGAGTTGTACTGTCTGTTTTCCAGATGTTAAAGAAGTCTTTTATTTTTGTTTACATGGGCAAGTTAAGCACTGCACATAAATGTAATTGACAACAACAAAAAAAAATCTAAGAAAGGGGAGAAATGGCTCAGCAGTTAAGAGCACTTGGTTTTGCGGAGGACCCAGGTTTAGTTCCCAGTACCCACCCAGCAGCTTGCAGCCATCCATAATTCCAGTTCTATGGGATCTAGACATTCTGACCACTGCAGGTACCAGACATGCACAAAGTAAATATACATAAATGTAAACAAAACACCCATACATAATAAAAAAATTAAAAATAAGTCTAAAATTTTTAACTTGTAAGGCAAGTGAGATATGACACTATTAAGGGTTTAACATCTTCATGAGATGCATTATTTTAAAACCATGGTAATATAAAAATGACAAGAGCGTCCCCACCCCGGACTTAGGAAGGTTTGATAAGGTAATAAGCCATAAAGTCTGATTGGGTTGAGTTTAATAGAATAGATTTTGAAACTGGGCTTTCCAGGAGGATTACTGCAAAATGAAAGAAAACAAGTAATAGGTAACACAGGCTTGAGCTCAAGCATAATTACTTTAATCATTTTATTTTTGAAATGTAGAACTACATTTTCCTTGGGGTGAGGATGAAGTAGACAGAGGAACTTGACGATTTAGACCCAGGATGAACTAAAATGAATCCAGTGTTTAGGTAGAAGAGAACATCTCAAGCGTTAGGGCATGCATGGAGTATTAGCATCTGCTGAGATCCTGGACATTCAATTCAAAGTAGATTGAGATAGTAAACGAACACAGATGTATAGTAGGCATTTTCAGAAACTTGATTTCGCTGTGATTGTTGTTTTACAGGGGAAATTATTTGGTAGGATTTCTAGGTATTGAGAGTATGTGACACAAATGTCAAAGACAGTAAGTGAACTGTGAAAAACAGTACAGTTATGAATCCATGGCTGTAAGATGAGTTGGCAAAGTTGTATGTTGCCACCACCAACACCCTTTTCGTTGTGGGGCCATACAAGGGATAGACAGTAACCAGGATCAAATGGAGAAGGGAGTGGGAGAATAGGGTAAAGGAGGGCATTTAATCCTATCCATTTTGGTTTTTGCCTTTCTCTGTTTAAAACACTGTATTTTATTTCTCCTTCTTTGAATGAACCCCTCTTCCCACATGGCCCTTTTCCTAGTTACCTAAACTCTGTGGGCATTCCAAATGAAACGCTCTCATTAAAACTTAAGAGAAAGCTAACATTCACATGTGAGAAAACATGTAATCTCTGTCTTTCTAGAGCCTGGTTGGTGTGGGAGGTCCTTCTATATATGTGTTGCTTTTATTGGTTAATGAGTAAAGATCCTGGCCTGGCCTGATAGGGCAGAGTAGAACTGAATGCTGGGAGAAAGAAGGCAGAGTAAGGAGAAGTCATGAAGCCCCACTGGAAACAGACGTCAGAACTTTACCTGGTAAGTCACAGCCTCGTGGCGATACGAAGTTTAACAGAAATGGGTTAAATTAAGATGTAAGAGTTAGGTAATAAGAAGCTAGAGCTAATGGGCCAAGCAGTGATTTAGTAATACAGTTTTTGTGTGGTTATTTCGGGAGTCTGAGTGGCTGGGAAATGAACAAGCAGCCTCCTACTAAACCTGGGGACCTCATTCAGCATTATCATTTCTAGCTCTATTTAATTTACTTAAAAATTTTACAATATTTGTTTTTCTGCCACATTAATAATATTGCTTTGTATAACTTTACCAAATTGAGTTAACGGTTCACCACTCAATGGGCATTCCTGCTGTTTCCATTTTCTGGCCGTTGTGAATAAAGCAGCAATGAACGTGGAAGAGCCCATATCTCTGTGGTAAGACATAGAGACCTTAGGTATATGCCCAACAGTGGTATAGCTGGATCTTTTGGCAGATCCATTTTCAGCTGTGTAAGGAAACTTCTACTGATTTCCATAGTGGCTGCACCAGTTTACACTCCCACCAATAGTGCATTGTGTTCTCCTTTCCCCACATTCTCACCAGCATCGGCTGTAATTGGTTGTTGCTGCTTTGTTTTTTCCCCCATAGGCCATTCTGACTGGAAAAAGATGAACTATTACATCAGGTATCCTCTAGTGAAAGTTAAGTAGTAAGAAAACAAATGGTCAGAGCATTTCTAGTAAAAACATTTCTGCTCAGCTTATATCGAGCTTCTAGCCACTCAGAAATAAGAAAATAAACAATATATGCACATATACACCTACACATTCCAAGCTGTGAAAATGAATACACAAATGTATTGTGCACATTTTTCATTGCTAGAAAAGGAATCTATCTCTGCTAGACAAGTGCTTGACCACTGAGCTACATCTCTATCCCAATATGAAATAAAGTGTTAACATATACTTTATCAAAAATACATATTCAAGTAACACCCAAAAGTATGCATGATCATGATTTTTAGTTTTGAGACAGGGTTTCTCTGTAGCTTTGAATCCTGTTCTGGAACTAGCTCTTGTAGACCAGGCTGGCCTTGAACTCACAGAAACCTGCCTGCCTCTGCCTCCCAAGTGCTGGGATTAAAGGCGTGCACCACCACTGCCCAGCTGTATGATCACTATTTTTAATGTAACTGTTATTGGAATCCAGGGGATTCCATAAACACTCCATAGTCATGGAAATTTCCACAACAAATGCATAACATGATTCTCAACAAAAAGACGTGGAAGGTTTACAAACCTTGTGTGGAAGTTGGAACTCACATTTCTTGTTTGAAAACTGCAGTAAATGGAAATTGTCTTTGAAATATGGCTGTCTTTAATGAAGTTGGACATATATCTAATGACACGATACAGCCATGTTCCTTCCAGGTGTTCCCCAGCAAAAATACAAAGACTTACATACCAGCGGCAACATTTTACTCCTATAGCTACAAAATGAGAACCATCCCGTATTTCTTTCAAATAGTGAGTGGATAGGTGGTTATTTGAATTTTAACTCAGCAAGAGGGATGACATCACTTGGTTTCCACACAATTCTGGAGGAAAGCAAGCTGCATTGTAGTGAATAAAGAAAGCTGACAGGAGAAAACATGCCATATGATCCCACTCATGAGCTCTAGAGGAGGAACCTGGAACAAGGGAATGAGTGTTGGTGGCTTGCAAGGACTGGTGGAAGATGAAGAAAGGGGACTGGCTGTAGGGAAGCTTGGTGGGGGGGGGGAGTTTATACCATAAGGACATTTACATACTCTACATGTTTTTAAAGAAACTGAAACATATACTTAAAGTGAGTAAAGTTTGGGCTGTAAACTTCACCGTAATAAAGATGACAATATCAAAACAGAAAATGCTATAAATAGAATCTGACAAAAATATTGTATGATGGAATCTCAGCATAAGCACTTTGCTGAGGGTTCCCATGGAGCCACATCAGATTCCTTCCAGTTTGCTCCATGTTTGTCAGCTATTGTCTCCATTGAAAAGTGACTTAATCAGTTGCTTCATAGGAAAGTTATTCTTGAGGCTAGAGAGACAGCTCAGTGGTAAGTACACTTGTTACGCTTGCAGAGGGCCTGAGTTTGGTTCCCAGCACCAACCAACATCAGGCAGCCGGAAACTGTAATTACAGTTCAAGGGATCTGACACCGCACTTGTGCACACATCACACACTTGCATTCACTCAGGCGCACACACAAACACACACATAAAATGAGTGAATCTTTTCTCCTTCAAAGGAGTATGCTTCCAAGACTTTCCTTCCTTGCTTTTCATCTGAATATTAATACTTATTGATGTTTTAGTGATAAATTAACCTTGCATTCTTGAGATTAGCTTCAGTTAATCACAACATCTTAACGATTTCACATATTTAATATGTTAAAATTAGAAGATTTTTCTATGTACATGAGGAATCTGTAGTTTTGTGGTTTTGTTATATGGGTAATGTCTATACATTAAAGTAAATTTATGGTAAAGTTCCAGCCTCCTTCTTTTGTAAGAGCTTGCATATAAGTAATATGATTTTCCCCTTGATGTTTAATAGAATTCTTCATGGAAACCTATAATTTTTATGATAAGTTTTTTAACTAAAAATTTAATTTGTATAATAGCTTCAGGGCTATTCAAGTTATTTTTTAAGTGAACTTCGGTAAGCCTTTCTTTCACTGAGTTTGTCTTATTTCATTTTAATTTTGAGTGCTAATGAGGAAAAGGAAAATCTCACCAGGTCCCACTCCTAGACAAAGAATTGCTGGGAACTAATGACTACTGAGAGGGGGAGAATTAGCCTCGCCTCGGGATGAGGCCTGTGGTTGCTTACCTGATAGAAAGTGGTCAACCCTACACAAAGCCACACTAACCAAGCTTAGCAGGTTGTATATATATATGCATAAAATGAAAAATGAAAGAGAATAGGCCATCAATTTAAGAGGGAGTGGGGGGAGGAAAGGGAAGGAGAAGCATCATAATTTTAATCTAACTCAAAAATTTTAATTTAAAACTTAAATAAGTTGCCAAGGTTATTGGCACCAAGTGTTTCAGGAGAGTTCTTTATTACTCCACTTAGAGGAGGAATTTGTATTGATGTCAGAGTTTGTACTGGTGTCACTGCTTTTGTCTGATTCGTTTGTCTGATGTTTATAATTGTTCGATGCTTTTACTCTGCCATCTTTTATTTATTTTTCTACTTTCAGGTCCATTGATA